ACCAACGTTTCAGAGGTCATACTGCCTCCGTCATCAGGGCCCTGATGACGGAGGCAGTATGACCTCTGAAACGTTGGTTAACATCGACCAGTCTACACAGCGCAACAACCCAGAAGACAGAAATCTAAACCTTGGAATATTCATGTTAATACATTAGTACTGGCAGAACATGAAGAGTACAAATTCATAATTGCTTCCTTGAGTAGTATAAATTCAGGTGATGTGTAATATTTATGGGTACATAGAAACAAACTGAACTATAAAACAAATAACTGAACGTTTGGATGCTTAGTTAGTGTAATGTCAGATGCTGACTTTTCATGGTGAAAGCATGGGTTCAATTCAATAACAGTCTGTGTGGGATATGTGGTAGAATGGCACCGAATTTTCCTCTAATAATTCAACCTATACTACCACCAGCTGACATTTTTCAGATCTTTGTTTATTACATCATTGCTGAAATTGCTTCCAGTATGAAGAGTCAACACAGGAGAGTGATTTTCATAGTAATTTTAATTATAATACTTGTAATTTCTCACAATTTGAAGGCACAATCCTAAGATATTTTAGTCGTGATTTGAAATTCTGTTGGCCTTGTTTTTATGCATGTTGAGCCCAGACAATGATTAGCGATTTTGATGTTTGTGTGTACTTACTATAGAAGAGGCTTAGTATGACACATCTGATGCACTTGCAGAAAGGAAAATGATAGTGACATGTTGTTTACTGTACATAATAATTATTACTATCATAATATATAATTTATTATAAATATGATTACATGATATTGCATAGATTTTAATAACTGCTGACTAAATTAATTGATTACTGTATAAGGGTAAAATGACCGACAAAGAGAGAAATGAGACCACAAAGTTGTTCAGTCACAGGACCACAATAATGTCATGCATTTTGAGTTACTTGTCAAGGTTTGATTAGATACTAATACTTTTTATGTTACTAAATCTGCCTTCTGTTGATCTTCAAAACACTGATCACAGCAAATATGGCAGAGTTTAGTGTGCAACTTAAAGAACTTGATTCTTCAAATAATAAAATTTGAACATAATGACTATTGTTACTTTTTAGAGTGATGTGAATGCCTCAGTGACATTTCTTAACAGTAACATCAAAAAAAGAAACATTGTTAGATAAATTTGTGTGAAATAGATGATGCTGTAATGGAGACAAGCATGGAGAATATATCAAAATTTTCTTCACATCATAAATATTGACAGTAAGAAAGAAAAGAGGATCCAAGACATTTCATTTTGTATTTCCTTCATAGAAATGGTCAATGACAATAACAGCATGTTGAAGGGTAACAGCTTTAGCAAATACATGTCCCAGGATTAGTCCACAATTTTAGTCCACCCAACAGTTACCCCACTTCAGTAACATATTCGTCACAATGAATTAAGGAGTCAGGAAGGATGCAGGTTAACGAGCCATGTCAGTATTGATTAAAATAATGTTCATGATCCAGTTTGTAATTTTAAAAATTGATTATATCTTAATTAATGGCTTTGTAACAACACTTCACCTGCTTAAGTGAGATGGTATACAAAAACAGGATGATTATGAATGACGGATTACAGCTCTTGTCTATTTTTAATATACTAGTCTGGTATCTAACCAGAGGGGTTGAGGAGAACCATAAAAACCACAATCAGTATTGTTGGACCCAAGTAAAGATTCAAATCAGGTACCTTCAAAACAAAAAGTTCTGATCACTACAATTGGTGGTTATGTATCAGTCAGTCGTTACAGATGTGAATAATTGCAGTCCTTTGTTACCAGTGTTGTTTCATAATATTCAGATGTACAACAAACTTTTTAATACATCCTTCTGCCAGTTTCTGAGGAGTCATTCCTTAGTCAAGTCTTCTCATTTCACCAAATTAAATGACTGATATTTTACTCCCATCACAAGACTACAAGCAAGGTTCTAAGTTATGTTGTGTTTCATGAATTGTATTTTGAGTTAAATCATCACCATAGTGATAACAAACTACATTATCAACCCAAATTATATTTTATCACCTCAGCTGAAATGGCTGTTGGTTATAAATTAAAACTCTCTTGGTTTCTAGTGTGTTAACTGAATTCAGGCATACACATCTGTCGCGTAAATGGAAACTTAACATGTAAGTCACTTTAGATGAGAACTATATTATGATTAGTAGCCTATACATTTTCACATACGTGAGTACTGAATTAATTTTATCTTGCTAAATTTATGTTTATCCATTGCCTTATGGGAGTCATATACCTTGTCAAGGATAGTTAAGCCCAAATGACCTGCTTTGGCTGAAACCAATGTGATACCATTTTGGGGATCATATTTGCATAGATTGCATGAGGCCCACAAGATGGCCACTGCCACAATTTAAATGTGTTACAGATCCACACTTCATTAATAACAACACATAGCAATAGTTAGGAAAGACATTAATAATCATCGTTCGACACTTAATAAGACAGATATATCACTTGTTCCTTCTTCCCCAGATACAAGAAATTTTACATTTAATAATTGAGTAAAGTGACCGTGGAACATTTTTGTATCCCTACAACTCATGGTCAGTATAATTTGACAGAAACATCCACATGTCATATCAGTGTACTTAAGAATATTCATAAGTAACTCCTTTTTCCCTAAACTGGTTTTAAATCTGTATATTACAAAAGAACGTGAAATGAGATGGGTGCCTGGGTTGTTGCATCATATTGTCTGCTAGAAGTTTGTTGATGTTTCAGAGGTGCTTACTGCCTCCATCATCACACACTGCCCTGATGATGGAAGCAGCAAGGACCTCTGAAACATCAGTAAATTTCTACTACAGTACATGGCAAAACAACCCAAAAGACAGCAGTCATCTTGCTATTGTAAGAACCAGAAGTCTCATTTAATATGAAACAACTCAGACACTGTGTTTGGATGTCGAAGCATTGAGCAGCTTTGTACTCTCATTGAAGGTTAATTCCAAGCATCGATCCTCATTGTTGATCTGATATTGTTGTTAACTGTGCAGTCGCCATTATAGATCATTAGTGTACATAGTAAGCATATGGCCACATGTATGCAAATAATGTGTGGATTCATTCTGATCCAAATTAATGATTGACACAATATTTGTTACATATGTTGCTAAAAATAAATATTGTTGTTATATTAAAGTTTGAAAGAGTGCCAAAGAATATTACATGTAAGTATTTTAATAAATTAATGTGACATTGAGATAAAAGAAGGCTGTAGTTAGGTTTGTACTGTAGTCTAATTAAGGGTTGTAATGCCATTACCCTCCTGATTGTGCAGACAATATCAGGAAGATATTTTTAAGACATTAATAATTTTAAATACATATTTATTTCACAATCCTGCCCTCCATTACAATGTGCACATATTCTTTTCAATCCATGAGAAGTCACCTTAATCCTTGATTAGTTCTTGGATGAAATAACTTTTGTTCTGATGAGAGCTGTGCATATTTTCAACAGTGGCCAGTAAAACAGGAGACTCCAAGTCTCTTATTGTGTTTGATCAGGAAGGAAATTAGTTAATCAAAAATGGCAGGTATCTTCAATATTAAAAGAAAAATTATATTTGCTTACAAATTGTTTATAAAGTAGGATATCTTATTAAAGCAACTGACAAGGAGACCAAGTCGAGTGATAACCTAATTTGGTTTCAGTTCTTCAATGTGGCAGTGGACCCTTCTGGCCAAAATATTAGGTGTCAACACTCCACTGTTTCTTTGTAATACATAACTTTATTTTTTACGTACTTCAGTGTTACTCTGTAAGTCTCATAAAAGTAGGCATACTTTTATTGCCAGTTATTTCATGCTATTTTTGCTTTTGCTGTTGAAAGTTCAAGCTTGAACACACCAGCAGTGTGTTAACATTTTCTTTCCATATAAATCTGCACTCTTGTCTACGTAGCTCAGCAATGATATTTCTTTGTATTTGGTAAGAAAGGTAAATGTAATTTGTACTGAATTAAGTTCTTACCTAGCACCAAAGGTGATGTAATTTTTAGTTATGTACATTTTTATGGGAGATTATATTTTTTGTTAATTATGTATAACTGACTTTTGGGTGAGAGCCATGTTAGATGTTTGGTGTTAACCAATGTTTTTGCAAACATCGCAGTTGTAATTTTTCAAGGTGGATGAGGTGGAGTCATTACAGAAGTTCTGAAAGCCAAAGTTATATGAAGATTGCAGTCTTCTGGATTATTGCGCCGTGTAGTCTGGTAGATGTCTACCATCGCCCTGATGACGGAGGTGGCATGACCTCTGAAACCTTGGTGGAAATCTACCAGACTACATGGTGCAATAACCCACAAGACAGCAATCTTCAGACTCACCGCTGTGAAAACCCCAAATCCTCAAAAGTTATACATTGAACATCAACCACAAAAATCTACGGACAAGAATTTTGTTAATTATGTTTAGTTTTATAAAAATGTTAATTGCCTCATACAGATTAATTTTCCCCCAGGCCCAGCATCCCCCTAAGATATACTCTGTAGAGAAGGTTTATTTCTTTTGGGGGCATGTTTTATAAAATAAATTTAAAAGCTATATTTACTATGTAGATTTGCAAATCAACAATGATGTTGGTGTAGTTGTTGATACCTAGATCATCATATATTTCTTTTGTTGTTGAATAATATTTTGTACGTAGTCTTTGTGACACATTTTTAACTCATGTAAATACTGCCCTGTTTTAACAACAGAATTATAAAATATGTTATGAGTCTGTTTAGTTTCATTTTATCCTCAATGATACTTTCAGGCTGCTAATTTTGCAAATAGGAATACAGTATTTAAAATTCTGACACACATTTAATCCTCTTAAGAACTTCCTCAATCACTGCTATTATAATTCAGACACATTTACAAAACAAATTAACATTAGCCTCAACTACAGCCTTAGTAAACTTCACAAGATGTTGCAGGACAGTCACTGTCTTGGATTGTATTGATGATAATATGATTTACTGATATATAGTGAAGTAGATTGCTGTCACTGTCAACATGCAACTGTATGTGAGTCACATGATTCAATCAATTAGTTTATCAATATATTTTACCAATATGGCAATGATAACAGCCATATTTAAAAGTAGAGTAAATTCGTTTTTTGTGTTTCTTTATTTGTAGCATACACCAATTTCAGTATAATGTGTTCTTTCGTATCGTTAGATTATTAAGGAGATCTTGCATGAAGAGAGAGTCTTGTCTATCGAGTGTTAAATATGGGAAGAGGTGTCTGGTGTTGGTTGAACTTTCTGGTTATAAGAAATATTTAACATTTCAAATAATTCAGACTGTAATAGACAGGTGTCTCTAATTCTTTTCCATTTTCCAGCCTGTGTCTGCAAGGTTCATAAACTGTTGTCCTCAATTTGTGGCCACATTTTAAAAATATTATGTACTTAGTTGTTGAACTGTTTAATTATCATCATTGGCTCTTAATATCATATATTAACTAAAAAATTAAAGATTATTTGTTCATATTCTAGCTAGAAGCTTCATTCTTTAATTCTTTGCAAGAATGAAATGATGAATTAAATCATGGCCATCAAATGAATTCACCTATAGCATTGAGACTAATTATTCAAACCAGATCTGATCAGTGAAATTCAGTATTATTTGAATATGATACTTAAAAAAGTCACCTAAACTTGAAACCAAGAATAAATACATGCCTAACATAAGGTCCAATGATCTTAACTTTAGCAAATAGGATAAAAATGGATTCTGGAACATGTTTTCCAATTTGTAAGGCACACAGTTAAAACCATTAACAATCAAATAAAATTTTTCTTGAGGTTCATTTAGCGTATCAAGAAATTTTATAGAACCCCAAGGTTTTTTCATTAATATGTTCACAAGGATTATCCCTTTCTAGTGGGCCTAACAGAATAAATGTTATCCCTCAAAAATATGCAGAGCCAGCCTCCGAAATGGTGTGGCTTCAATTTAATACTAAATTATAGATTATTAATATAATAAAGGGTGGATTTAGTTCAGAAAAATAATAATATTGAAAGCACCTTCGTTGTATCACATTACTGTTCAAAATTCATATGAGTATTTTGTGGTTCTCCAAAATTGAAAGCTTCTGCATTTCTGTGTTCATTTTTGTCAAGTAAGTAGTTAATGAAAGACTGTCAGGTTACAGCCATGTCAGGTGGCTGAATGGTGAATAAACCATATCCTCTGCCAATATTTCAAGAACAATCTCTGCTGTCATCCTCAGGGCTGCTGCATAGCAAATCTGATCCTTTGTAGTGCGCTCACCAATGGGAACTCCCTGAGGATGAGAGCAGAGATTGTTCTCGAATCATTGGCAGAAGATATGGTTTATTCACCATTCAGCCACCTGACACGGCTTGTAACCGAAGACTCTTTCATCAACTTTAGCTGCGAAAGCTTCACTTTATACAAGTAAGTAGTTAATTGTATCTTCATTTGAACATCATATACAGTTTATCAGACTCTCCCAGAGACATGGACTTCTCTCTCCATACAGTCTTCTTAATCTTAATTTAGCTAAGAAGTCCACGTCCTCAACTATCACAATAATAGTGCATGGTTATCTTGTTACAGTGAGTTTCTCTTGGCTTCAGGAATTTGAGGTGGAAAGCTTCAAACTGATACTCAACATTCTAAAGATGACGGTGCTTTTAATTGTTGATGATTGCTCCCACTCAGAGCTTTTGTGTAACCCTGTGGCATGTGAAACCACATCGAAATATATTTATGTGAGTGCAGTGGAAACTTCAAGATAGGCTCCACAGAGGAGACCTAGCAAGGACTGAAGCAGTATTCAATGTAATTTCCATAAATGTTGCAGCAAAAATAAAATAATGAATACCCACTGCATTTGTGACGGTGTGTCTGGCAACACTCCAAAGTCATTATCAGTAAGGTAAATGAAGTTTGATGCAACTGTGTAGGGCTGGTGTATAGGGTAGGTCTATGTTAATATTTGAAACATTACATATTATTTGTACTGTTACAAACAATGTTAATAATTAATGGATCAAGTAGGCCTATGACTGAATTGTTACAGAATTATCATTATAATTATTATTCTGTTGTGATCAACATTTTTTTCCTTCCTCCCCCAGATGAAGATGAAATTGTCTTGACAGTGTGCATTGTTGAAATTAATATACTGTTCAGGGTTTGCACAAATTTAGATATGGTGAAAGTTGCAGATATGTTTAAACTACAGGAAGAATTTGGCAAATCCAGTAATTTACATATCTATCATTGCCTTACAAAAAAGAATTTTACAGCTGTACTTTTACAAATGTTGATTTTAATTTACATTTTCAAAGAGTGATCTTAACACTTAAAACCCTAACCTACAACCTCCACCTCAGATATTTGAAGAGTTGATCTCCTTTGCCCTCATATTTTTCAATTTATACAAATGCGGTGGACACTGTCAAATTGTAAATATGCCATTGTGAAGCAACTGTGACAGATCCAGGATGTGTTTTGTAATAAACAAAACTTTTAAAGATATGTAAATTTCATTAGTTAACGTCTCCTCTTCCTTTTATCCTAATATATATCTTTGAAAAACTTAAAATTCCTTACACTAAGATATATTCAGTGGCATAACCAAAGGAAGGGACTGAGAGTCCAGTGGCAGAGAAGGTGGTGGTCAAAGTGGGCGACAGCCTAGGGACTCACAAATATAGGGGCCCCATGTTCCTTACATGTGTACTTGTATGAATTCAAATCACCTTTTCTCTTAACACTGTTGTTATAGTTTGACTTATATGTGTGCTTTTATCTGAGACCAATGACAAGGAAGAAAGAATTGAGAAAGTTTTGATAAAAGCCTGTCAAGATTAATGACAGTTTATAAATGCCTTCCATAAAAATTGTTGATGGCAGACTGATTGTTGTTCAGGCACATTACCACTCATCTTAATGTTCTTCAGTAATGCAAATTTGGCAGCTAATATTAGTTTCCATCAATAATGGCCTCCTTCTCAGTGCTGAACCAATTGTGGCATTTCTTGTGTTTTTACATGCATATTATGCATATTTGACTTATTTTTCTCAAGATAATTGGTGTTTTAAATTTTTATACACTGTAATTGTTGTGGGGCAAAGAAACTGGTGGGGATGATAAATCAGTTGTTTCTGAGTTGTGAAAGCAACGATATTGTAAAGTGGACAGGGATGTGTATTTTGTTTAGTGTGAAATTTGGCGTTAAACAGATGATTTAAGAAGAAAGAAATATAAAATCTGAGTTAGAGTAAAGGAATCTAGAATTGAGGCAGTTCTAAAATTTTTGAAAAGTTATGATGCAAGTGTGATTAACAAAGGTTTAGGTGAACATGAAAGTGGAGAGCCAATGGAAGACTTGCATGAATTAGGTTCATCAGTTCTTATGAAGTAGTTTCTAAATCATTAAAAATACATGTGAAATCACCCAAAATGCTGATCATGTATTTCTTTTTAAAGGGACCTCATCAATCAATCATGCCCAGGGCCTCATGATTGGCTCTGCTGCCACTTTGGGTGTCAAAATCCCAGATCAACAGACCTTCCCCTTACCCCACCCAGTGGATGAATTGCTCAGGGCCCTGTGTATCAGTAATATGTAACTAAGCTTTGTGGGTATATTTGAGGTTTGAGCTTGTATGTTGTAAAAAGAATAGAATTTATTACATTTCATAGATCCTTCATAGGCCTAAGCTAAGGATGGAGGACATGTCATAGCACAGATACAATACTCATTTCAAATATAAATAATAATTACATGATCCGCTTAGTGTAGGGATAATGTATTGAAATATGTGTCTTCCAGTTAAAGTTATTATCAATTGGTAAGCAAAAAAAATAGTTATTTCTACTTCAATTGCTTTATCTTCATATCCTATCCTAGAGTAACATTTTTTTTTGTAATACAAAATTTCAGTCATTCTGACTACCAACTGTTGAACCAATTATGTTTAATTTAAATTTGTGTTAGTTAAATTATTTGTTGTTCTATCATTGTTCATAGTTAATGTCTTAAAATATCTTGAATGGAAAGCTGTTTGATGCATGTTATAACAATAAAGAGGCATAACATTGTTGCAAACAAAATAACCGGATTATTATACTAAAGGCAACCAAAATAAATGCCCTTTTGATTTGTTAACAATAAGACTATATAACTAAAATTAATTACATTTTATTTTAAATAGCTAACCAGCATCGTGAGGAAATTGGGGAGCTACAATGGGTAGCGTAAACCGGTCATGAAAACTAGCAATGGCTGGGGGTTCAGCGTGCTGACCACACGTCATCCTATATCTGGTTGAATGATCGTTCACCTCTGCTTAGGCATGTGAACGTGTGGCCAGCAGCCAGCCAGTTGGCTTTGGCTCTCAGAGGGCTGTTACGGCACGGATTATTATTATTATTATTATTTAAATAGTTAATAATTTTACTCTTCAGTCACATTCCTCACTTCCCGTTTTACTGGGATTTTGACTTATTAGCTTCTGTGTATAAAAGGTGCCGATATTGTTTTTATTAAAGGTCAGCAATTAACAATAATTCAGTACATTAGGTTGTATGACCGGGGAAATCGTATGTAACCGATAAATTCATACGAAACGGAAAACTAATTATTGTTAAATAAGGCGGTACATATACTTTCCAATAAGCTTTCGAGAGTTAATGAAGTTTATTCCTTGGCTTTCTAGATCTTATTCCTTAATCATCAGTTACCAACACAGTCATACCCAGAGATTATTGTTATAGCCAGCTAAAATATTGTTGGTATATTGCCTATCATCGTGGATTGTGTATTCATTTAGTTGCGTTACCTGTTTTAAATATAAGTTGTTTATTTACCTTCGAATGCAACGCTTGAATGTGCAATTGATAAACAATTTAATGAAATATAACATGGCAGCTTCACAAATACGCGAAATAGCCTATAAAGCATAATAATGCACTAATGACAAATAGCCAACATGGACGCAATTAAGGTCGAGCCCGATTCAGATGGTGAGACACCAGAGTCGCTTGGCAATGAGCAGGAAGATAACTCTGAAGAAGATAGAGTACCGCAACCATTTGCGTTTGCTGCAGTAAAGGTAGAAGTTGAGGTGAGGGCACGGAATATTTAAATACAAACACTGCACATTGGCTACCCGACACTCTTTGACATAACCTTACGGTTTCCATTATTTACCTATAACCATATTGATTAGAATACTCTAGCCGTCGGGACGAATCTGTATCTTTTTGCTTACGTCACCGACTTGCTGGTAGAAGGAAAATAAATGCATATACTATGTAAACCAGAGACATTATTGACATAGGAAAAGAGACGTTGAGTTACAAAGTACTGTCACTGGGAAATGGTATTTACAGTCTGGACACTGGATGGTTCCTTATCTGTTACCCCATCTTTATTTCTAATGAATCTTGAGCACACAGATTTGCCCCAACTACAGTATATGTTGTGACCATGTTCCAAAGCAGTTTCTGAGTCTACACAAGTGTTCATTAGCTTGGCGCACTGCACTATAATCTATAAGTTTACCAACTTTTTTGTTTAAATTAGTACTTATTTAATGATTTTTGTGGGTGGTGGGCTGTTCATTGCAGTGATAGCTTGAAATTATGTGGAGATGGAAAAATTCCCTAATTAAAGCTTTGCCTATTTGAAAAAATGTTCACTTGTTTAAATGTCATGTTGTATAAAATATTTGTTTATTATTTTATTTCTCCAGTGGATTAGTATGCATTTTATATTGGACAAGTCAAATATTACAAGAAGTTGAGATTAATGCAATATATTAAGATGGATCAGATGAAAGAAAGCAGAATTGCAAAAAAAACACATAATGTGAGAAAATATCAGAACTCTGTAAAATTGGAGTAAACTTTCATGTACTTCTCAAGCAAATAGCAGCAATGTTTTATGTGAAGCTCCTTTAGCTTATTTTTACAAAGGTAGTTATTTATTGTCCATTTAATATATTTAGGGAACTTGTTATAAAAATTACATCCTGTAGTGTTCAACCAGCTATTGGAGTTTTCAGCTTGTGCACAACTTGATGGTAGTAAAGGCTAGTCATAGTTATGTAGTTATGCACCTGATAATTTTTTATCTAATAAAACTGTCCTCACAGGAGTCAGGCTTAAGCCTGCAATACTGCCACATTTTTCAGTATAAAATTTTCCTTGGTACTGCCTTCCAAACAGCAGTTTTATATATATGAAATAAATGAGTAAATATCCCATAATAGACTACATACAGAACATCCAGTTTGTGTATTCAAATTACTATATGAGTTGTTTGTTCAAAATAGTGAATTGCCTTATTTGTATTAATAGACACAAATGTTTCTAGTTCCTCTACATTTTCCCCCACATTTGGAATTGAAGTATCATCCACATACATAATTTTCCTGACTTTGTTTAATTTTGACATATCACTGACATGTTGAAAAATATAAGACCAAGTACATAGCCCTGGGGGGACTCATATTTGATGAGTAAATTTTTAGAGAGGTAAGCTTTTGAATCTTTACTTTTTGAGTTATTTGTACATAATGTCTACTGTTTGTAAGGTAAGGCTTAATAAGTTTTGTAGGACTTACTGAGTAGTATTTTATGTGTAATAAAATCAGATGTTTTTTGCAGATCTAAATGAACAGAATTATTGTATAATCTGTTACCCAGTTATACAACTACATCATCTGAAACTGTTGCGTTCTGTGTTGATTTGTGTTTTCTAAAACCAGAATCTGAATTTCTAAGAGTATTATATTGTCAGTAAAATTTGCCAGCTGTTTTGATGTGTTTTCCAAAACCTTGATATTCCAGGAACTAAGGTAATTCGTCAGTAGGTATTTACTTCCACAGTTGACCCATTTTAAGGACAGGATTCACTGCAAACATTTTTAAGCAGAAGGGTAAGATGCTGTTCCTGATTGATGCATTTTTGATACTTTGTAGGGGTTCAGTCATATTTTTAATAGAAAGGAGGAGATCACATTAGAACCAAGTTGACTTTTTATTTTTAATTTTCAATTCTTGTTGTGGGAAATGAACTTAATGTTGGTCATATCCTGTAGTGAAATACTTTTGGCATGTAATAACTTATGGATGGTCGGATGAAACTTTATGAAGTTTGTTATGAATTCTATGCCATTTGAGGATAATACAGAATTGTGCTTTTTAATTTATTACAATTGTAATATCAATGTGATAGATTTAGTAAATCATGGTGTGGGATGTTAACACCATTATTCATAATCATTTGCACATACATTATATCATGGCTTGGTGAGCAAATTATAGACTGTGTAAAAAGTGTTGCTTAGAATGTGGTGTAAATCTTTGTTTTTATAAAAACTTGTAGAATGTCACTGAAGGTGGTGAGCTTTTGTGAACATGGAAAATAACAAACCATTCTAGCTCTTTACGTGGAACTTTGCATAATTGGGGCAGCTGCTTAATTGGACCAAAGTGTTCTAGTCCTGATGTGTCCCAATGAACTGATATCCACTGTATTATGAAATTTTTCAGATTTTGTGTTTTATTGTATATATATATATAGTTTAGTGAGTGGTTATTTTAGAATTGGGGAAATTGGAATGTGTAATGAGAAGTTGACAGCTTAATATGACTAAAAGCTGCATAAACAAGATTAAAGGTAGTAGCAGATACCTTTTATATTTGTTTAGACACATTAACCCAAAAATTCAGTATGGGTTGGAGTGTTGATTTGTGGTTGTCTCATTCTAGCTTGATCCTCAGGAAGTTGTAGAAGTAAAAGTTGAGCCAGATATTGGAATAGATTTTGAGGACCATGATGCTGGTGTGGATGGCATTGGGTGCGTATAGTTACTTTAGTGGTATATACACTTATTATTATCTTATTATTTTAATTTCCCTGTAAGAAACTTTCTTGATATGTTATTTAGCGCTAATGCTATATTTCTATCAACAGAAACTTTATGCAGGTATATGTTCAAATTTTCTTTTTCTTTTATTAGGTTTCGTACAATGAATTAAACTGTACTGTTGAAATTTAGTGGCTGCAAGAATACCACTGTTTGAAAAGTAGTAAAATAGAAGCTTTGTGTAAATATTAACTGGGTCCTAAATAGTAGCAGGATACTAGCACACATCTTGTAAGGAAACGTGAACAAGTTAAATCTTGTGACTATTTATCCAATGACTTGACAGGAAAGTGCTATGTTATAATATTTTTAATAACCCAACAAATGGTTGAATTCATAGTTCCCATTAGTATACGTTTACAAAAGTTCTACACTGAAGGATAGTACGTATAATTTAATATTATATATGCTGACTAGTCACACTTTCTCCTTTTGCTTATAAGTTTCCACATATCAATTAGGAACAAAATGTTTACGCATTGAATTGTTCCACAGAATGTGATTTCTCTGTTCTGTCTACACATCTCTTAATATGCTATATCCATTGTATGCATGATTTACCCCTGGGTCTTCTTCCACTATCTTTTCATTTCCAATAATCTTCCTGGTATTTTATGTTCATTCATTAATATAATCTCAATCTACTTTCCTTGATTTGGTTCTGTTTTTGTGTTTCATCTGTCTTCAGCACTCTCATAATGTATGTGTTTATAATTCTATTTCTCTTGGTTTGTCCCGCTATTGCCCTTAGGAATTTCATCTCAGCTACTTGTTTTCCTTCCTCTCTCTTAATACATGTCCATGTCTCTATTCCATAAAATATTATCTTTTAAAAATATACATTTTAATTTTTGCTAAGAAATTGAATCAATAGATTCACACTTCTAATTTACATTTCACCCTCATTCTCAGGAATATGTAGTGTCTTTATCTTACCATTGGCCATTAATTTTCTTTGTTGATGTTCTTGTGGAGGTGAAAATCCCTATGTTGTCTTCTGGGAAAAATAATGTGGAGTTGTAGGTAGATGAGAACATTCCAGAGGAACATACTGCCTATAACTTTTGTGAATGAGTATCTACCTACAAGTTCATATGTCATTACTACACAGAAGATCAACGTCAATTAAAACCTGCTAAGGCACAAATATGTCTGCCTAATATGAAGAGAAATATGAATAAATCTTGATGACCTTTCTGATATGTGTAACTATGTTCCATGGCAAATTGAAGGTGAAGACTGTCCTTCACTTGAATAAGCATATTCATGGATATAAAAATGGTTAATGCTAACCACTTACATACCAGTGAATATGTGTGCTGAAATTAAGTATATAGTCTTCACCTTCAATTAACTATAGAACCAAGTCACACACATCAGAAGATTTATTCATGTTTCTCTTCAAATTAGGTAGATATACCGTAGAGGTGTCTCTGTAACATATATGTGGCATAGCTAGTTTTAATTAGCCTTTTAGAGCCGACTGGGTAACTTTATGTCCCACCTGTATCAACAATCAGTAACTGTGCAGTTAGTATTTAAGTGTTCATATTTTTTACATGGTAAACGTGTTATTTCCTTAAAGATCATTAACCAATTGGTCTTTGTAATGGTGAAGAGTTCTATTTTCTTTGCAATATGGACTGAATTTTTAAATATTATCTAGACAAGCTTTGGCTTAAAAGGGTTAATGGAAGGTGGAGAAAAATGCATACAGGCAAACAGATGGAAATTATGAATAACTGGAATTATATAGGATTTGAGACTTTCGCAGTGAGTACAATCAATAAAATCTTCTCGGGCAATCAGCCGTGTCAACTGGTTACCGTAGTAAACCGACATTTCGGGAACCAACTCTGTTTCCATCATCAGGGTTCTGATGTGACTGGATACTTCTGAAGTCACCTGTATATAATAGACATGATATAATAATAATTATGCTTACTTCAGTTCCATTTTGAGACTTAGATAATTTAGAGCACTATAATTCTGTTGCTCAGAATGTACAGGTTGCTGATCCAGTTCAGTGCATAACATATCCTTATGACCTGGTCTGCTTATATTGCTTTAATCTTTAATAACTGCTGTGCAGGTCAGTCTTTCTACTTGTCAGCAATTACTGTTATACACTAAAGGATGTTTTTTTCTCCATTTTCTTCTTGGTCTTCCAAGAGATTTTCAGCATTTCCCCCCCCACTAAATTTATGTGTGCATTTGTTTCCTCCATCCTACATGCCCTTGCTCTCAAGTTTGATATGATTAAATATTTATGTATTTCCTACAGTTCACAGGATGTATCAAGTCAGTATGCTGCAGGTGGTATAGGGAATTGTCCAAGTGAGTGGCCACATAAATGTTCAGAATGTGGAAAATCTTTCCCAACTTTTGCTGGTGTGCAGAAACATGCATATAAGCATAAACCAAAGTTATTTTCATGTGATATTTGTGGCCAGAGTTTCTATCATCCCAACTTGCTGAAGACACACAAACTGGTACACACAGATGGAAAACCTTATTTATGTGAAATATGTGGAAAAAGCTTTTTGCAGGCCTCTAATTTAAGGTTACATTCTGTCAAACATAAAGGGGAGAAGAGTCATGAGTGTAAAATGTGCAAAAAGAAGTTCTTCCATGCAGATACACTTAAAACTCATTACATGATTCACAGTGGTGTGAGACCACATGTGTGTGAGATCTGCAATCGAAGATTTACTCAGGCTGGTAATCTAAAAACGCACATGTTGGTGCACACAAGGGAAAAACCATTTCAGTGTACTGTTTGTGGTAAGAGTTTTGCCTTGCGTCATGCCTTATCTAGTCATCAGACACTCCATACTGGAGAAAAGCCGTACAAATGTGACGTATGCAGTAAGCAGTTTCGTCATCGTCAGGCTCTTATTAATCACCAGAAACTTCACACTGGAGATAGACCATACGAGTGTGACATATGCAGGAAAAAATTTGCTTTACGTGGCAATCTCCAAAAGCACATTGTTATGCACATGAGTGAGAAACCCTACAACTGTACTTTTTGTTCGAAAAGATACCCTGACACACAGTCCTTGAAAGAACACGTTGCTTCTCATGTCGATAACAAACACTATAAATGTAATGAGTGTGACGAACAGTTTCCAAATCAGGAGGCATTAGAGAAGCATTCTGATGACCACAAGGGAGAGATTGTTGTTGGCTTGTAGGTAACTGTGTTGTACATATCTTTCCTTACAGCTTATATACTTCATAAGTAATCATGCGGTGTAATATTTCCCAATTTGCTTTCTCACAGACCTGTGTATAAAATTGTATGGAGAGATGGATAGTTCAGAGTATGTCATTCCAATGGAATTCTTTAGATTAAAAACAAATTGCTCTTCTATGTGAATTAAGCTTGTAATGACATTTGAGATTCTCAAGAGGTAAATATATCAGTGGTGATGTTCTGGGTTTTTATGTTATGTTGGCATGTGGATGGATACCAGCATTTTGGAAGAACATACTGCTTCAATCTTCACAACTCAGAAAACTTGTAGTGTGTAAAAGGACAAAGAAATAATAAGCTAGGAATGAATCTGCATATTGCAATACAAAAGCATTTAAAAAATAACTATTGTATTATGTACTATATATGTGTGTGTCCTTTTAATACTTGGTTATATGTAAACTGGAGCTCAGTGTTGCCATGAAGTTTTTATGTGCCTTTAGAAAGTAAATTATATGTGTGTAGCCACTTCAATTTCTATTATGAATTTGAGATTGGGCTGCAAGTGCCAATCATTTCAGTTCATTCTTTGACTTGGTATGTTGTGTGATTTCTGTGTTAAAATTTGGGTGGTCTGAACCATTGTATACTGTTAAATAAAATCCTAACAGATAAGTATATTTCTCCATGTAATGTCTGAAATGTCAATATATGAGCTTCTGTGACTGTGGTCCTCTGAGTAATGATATTGTATAGTCATATAGGTGGTAACCAGCATTTTTGTGGTATGTATCACTGCCATATTTAGGATAAACTTTTGTTTACAAATTATATATAAGCATTTCTGAGTTATGGTACTTTAGAACTGTCACTGATACCTGTTTAGCATATTTATGTTTTTGTTTATAACATAAATGTGTAATTCCAGAAAATTGTCTTGATGGCAAAAATAGATGGAATTTATTGATTGGATTATCAGTCCAAGAAGTTGTGTGAATAGATAATAACTAATATGCAGTGAAATTAGGAGAGGAACAATGTCTTTAAATTTCTCCATATGTTTTAGGTGAAAAGCTGTTTCATCTTCACTTTGTTCCAGTACACTTCATATGTACAAGGCAATTATTTTGCAGTTTTTTAGGCCTTGTCGGTCTGTTACAGTATTAAAAACATACTATATGCATGGTTGTAAATTATGGTTTCTTAACTAACTCCATGTCCTTTTTGAGGGGCTGGAAATTGTTCAACATATAAAATTTCCAGCCTTTTATGGATCTAAATTTCATTGTCATATTCAGAAGAGGCCTCCTCACTATGTTTTCCTGAGCCAGATAAATCCAGTCCATACCCCCAGTTCAGACCCTTTTTATTTAAAACACATGTTAATGCTATTCTTAACCTACATCTAGGACTCCCAGGTGTCTCTTCCTTTTAATCTTGCAACTAAAATGATGTGTGCATTTCTTACCACTCCCATGTTTGCTTCATGCCTTGACCATCTCATTCTCCATGATTAAATCACTGTGATAACAGTTTCTTCTACTGAGGAAAGAACATAAGACATAATTGTTGATTGCAGCAGTTATATCCATTTTCAAAAAATTGGGTTGAAAGTATACACACATATATGTACATATTTTGCTTTTTACTGTCAGAATGCTGACATTTTCATGTACAGTTTCAAAGGGTGATAGCTGTGGCTTCATGAAATGGCTAAGATATGTTTAGTACTTCCCATAGGGGCACTCACATGTGTGGTGTAATGGTTCTCTACTTTCCAGTCTCCTGTGATGAAAGTGAAGCCATGTGTTATGTTTTCTCTCAGTAGTGCAAAGATAGTTGACATTCCTCCAGTGTTCCAGTTATTAATCATTGTCATTCAAACCACTTCCTTGGTTGGGGCTCATGATTTGTCTTATCAGAACTGAAACAGATGGAAGATCATTCCTTGAGATCAGAATTTGTACCTTTTACATTACAATATTTATGTGGGATTCCTATTCTGTATGTTTACTCTTTCCTCTTGTGTTCAGCTCTTCACAATTTTTTACATCCTCTGTTTTATTTTCCTGCAGAAATGTGGTGATGTCCTATGCTATTCCAGCATCAAGTTTACCCACATAAAAAGCCAGGCCAATTTCTCTGCTGCTCTTACTCTTCCAGCAAAGGCATTTCTTGTTCCTACTATTGATCCATAACATTTCAGGTTTTGTCATTCCTTATGGCACTAAATGGGGGTAGGCACTTTCTAGTTGAGAGTGATGGTTAAATAATACTGGGTGTTTCTCTGTTTCTTTTGGAATTGAGCTTATTTTCTCTGTTCCCATGCTTACTCGCTTCTCTTTGGTAGGTTTGTATTCCTTTTTATTAGCTCCACTGTAGTTGCCCTTTTTATCAATTAACTTTTTAACATCTTTTTCGGTTATGCCGCATTAGTTTGAACTGGACAACTGGAGTTTGATCCCCAACAGGGAAGAGGATTTATCCTCTAGCCTCTGCATTCAGACTGGTCCTGGGACCCACCCAGCCCCTATCCAATGGGTAATAGGGTCCTTTCCTAGAGGTAAGGCATGGCTGAGGTGTGATGCTGACTCACCCCTATCTAGTGCCAAGGTTAAGAATGAGTAGGAACTCTACCTCCCCCCCAAGCACCTATATGTTCTTTTGTGGGACAGCTTTACTTTCTTTACTTTGTCTCATTAGTTTACCGTTTCCAGGAAAGAAGGATATATGTAAGCCCATGGGTTGCCACCATTCATGAGGCAGTTTGGGGATATTTCCAGTGAATGCCAGAATGGCACGTTAATATAGATCGCGACGGTACCCTTGGGATCGTTCATTCATAATTTAGTTTGTACGTTAATATAGATCGCGACGGTACCTTTGGGATCGTTCATTCATAATTTAGTTTAGCTCATTTAACGTTATATAAACTCTGTAGTTCATTAATGTAAAAAATATTTGAATAACGATTTTATTATGCTATTTCTATATATACAGGCGACCTCTTGGCTTCCTAGATTGCATGTCACTTGTGATTGTGGTTTCTTCATATTGTATAAAAGATAATTGAGCATGGGTTGCGTATTTTAGTTGATGTACTTAATGATTCTTTAATTAACTTAGGACAAAGCATTCAAATGTTCGGAACAACTTCTGAACACGGTGACAAGTGTACTTATGCCGTTGTTATTCCGAATTCTGCTAGTGATGTAAGTAACGAGTAAATGTAAGCGTGCAGTATTGTGTTGTGTCAATGAAAATACAAGCTTTAAGGTAAGTATTTAAATTTCGCTACAGTCTAAATCCATCTGTTCAAGATTATTAAATCATTGAACAGTGTCAGACTTGCCTTATTTTTAATTGCTACAGTAAGCTGAAGATTACCCATATGTGCAGAGGTACATTTGTTTTATATAATTTTTTGACGGCTCTACATACGTTTAATTTTACAGTATAGTACGATATATGTGACAACAACATGGATGCTATAAAAATGGAACCTGATTCAGACAGTGAGACATACGAGTCTCATATAAATGATCTGGAACTTACAGCTGAAGAAGACAGAGTAGCAGAACCATTCGCTTTCGCTGAAGTTAAGGTAGAAGTTGAGGTGAGGACATACAATCTATGAACTTGATCCTAATTCGTGCTGGACGTTTGTGAAAAAACCTTGGGTTTATTTTAAGTGTGTGAAGTGTATGTCCCTTTGATAATGTTAGGCATTATTTTTTGTTAACATTTTGCTGTGGTTCTCCAACCATGCCAGTGCCACATTAGGGCATGGTTTTTGATGGGGCATGGGTGATCCTTCCCTGTCTAGTAATGTTAGGTTACCCAAGAACACACTTTTTCCTGGTACTTCTTTTTTGTTAAAATCAACTTTGTGTGTGATTGGCAGACTGTTACAGTGCTCCAAGTTGTGGGGAGTCTGGATCCAATAATGCTTTTATGCATATCCCATAGATGCAAGAAATGCCCATTTAACAAAAATAATAAAATAGGTTTTGAGGTTCTCATGGTGGCAAACATGAAGATGGCTTTCTTCTTGGTTGTAGCACTATGTAGTCTGCTAGAAGTTAACCAGTATTTCATAGGTTCTTGCTGTCTCCATCATCAGGGTGCCGAGTGCCGGACCATGGAGGCAGCAAGTACCAACCATCAGTGGAGGCCTCAGTAACTCACTGGTAGTTGTGACTGCATTCTAAACTAAAAGTTGTTTTGGATACAAAACATAGGATTGTTAGAGAAAGATAATTATTTGAGAACTATATTACTTATCCCTTGAAGAACTTTGGCTGCATGTTTTTAATTTTGAGGTTTCAAAACCTTGTCTTTCGAAATTTGGTAGGACTCCTTGGATAGGTTTCAACTTGTCACAAGGTCTCTACATACACAGGACAGCAGGATTTGAACCCACATTCTAGACTGTGCAGCCAATGTGATCAGCAAACTTTATTACATATATAATTATGGCTCTATAACTTTATTGACTGTTAATTTTTAATTTAGGTAAAATATTTCTTTTTACATTTTTTAGAATTTTTGTAGACCCATTCACCAAGCTGAAAACATTAGATATGTGGTGCCAGAATAATGATACGGTGAATTTTCAGTTATATAACCAGTAATTATATAAAAACCTGACCCCACAACATAATATAGCCACTGATGTGATCAAGTGAATGGGTCAAATGAATGGGCCACTAATGTGACCCAAAATGTGTCATCTTTGTAAAGACCCATTTTGTCCTTCTCTCATCATAATGTATGGAGCCACACCCTGCTCTAGTGACTATGACATAGATTTGTATTTTGAACCAACTTTAAAGCATCTACACTGATCATGGTTCTGTGAGGACTGGAATGTGTGTTAGTATATCAGTAAAAAAAATTAAAAGGTACTTGGTTTGCATAATTTATATTACCTGTCAGATAATATGTAAAGTTCATAGTATGACACTGGCTGTAAATTGCATAAAGCAGCTTAAAAGTAAAAATCTTTGCAATAGCTGTGTATCCTATGTGTGTATGCAGCATTAGTTGGATTTGTGGTTTTCTCATTTTAGGTTAATCCTCAGGAAGTTGTTGAAGTAAAAGTAGAACCAGACATTGAAATAGACTTTGAAGAGCATCGTGTACATGTGGATGGAGTTGGGTTGGTATAGTTTTTATTTTATGTTATGTAATATAAATAATGTACAGTCAGTCCTCACTTGACAAATTTGGAATTTCACTCATATGAACTTTTTAATGAAACATGTACCCTCCTCTTGGCTCTTCTTCGAAACATGAACATGCTAATCTGAAATATTCTGAACACATGCTAACAAAAACACAAAAGACATAACATCACCCAGTCAGTCAAAGAAATCACAAGTACATGAGTCAGTTTTATTATGTTTTACTTCAGTGACATTTATGAAAGATGTTGCTGTTTGTTAACAATTTTGTGGTAATAATAATGACTGGGATAAGAGGGAAAATATTTATTTTCCCATCATTGTTTACATGACATGTCTCTGTTAAAAAAAAAGAATTTTTACAGCATATGTAATACTGTAATATTTCCATTGCTTGTGTTTAATGTCAAGCAATAGAATTGTTGATTTGTAATTTGCTAATGTAACCCCAATCTATAACTTTGCATTTATGAGAAATTACAACTTGCTTTATAAACTCTGTCTTGGAACATAACTATCTGTAAGAGTGAGGGCTGCTTGTATTTTGTTTTTATTCTTGGAGGAACACAACTGTGCAACATTCATGTTGTACAGAGAGTAGCTAGAACACTATAAATTTTACATTTGTCTTTATAATTTTTATTTTTAGTCATTTTTGGACTAGTGTGAGTTGTAGCTCGTGTTTATGGTGCTCCTGAGAATAGTATTGTTGAACAAGCTGAACATAGTTTATTCAGTTATCAGTTGAATACTAACCATATAGGGTTTTTTTTTTCTTTCTTTCTTTCTTTGTCCTCCATCTGGGGGGTTTTTTTTTTCATTCTTTCTTTCTTTGTCCTCCATCTGGGATTTGCTAGATGGCATTTCCTGTGACAGATAAAGGCATGCTACAAAAATTATTCTGCATTCAAGGCTTACTCATTTAATATTGTATATATTTCCCTATTTGCTCACACAAGGTTTTGATTTTGTTACACTTTCTCTGCACAGTGGTACTTCTTACATTCATGTAAATTACTTGCTAATATTCATATGTCATTTTATATTCTCATAACATATGTATTTGTAACATGAAGTTTGAATCACAGAAATGTTGAAATTTTAAGTATTTTACTGTAATTTGTGAGACATCTAACAAACAAAAGGATAATGGGAATATTCATCTGCTGTAAACATTATTCCCTAGTCCATATTTTATTTCCTTCAAGGATACAGTATGCTTAGATCTTGATAGAGAGTTCCCTAATTCGCAACAAACTATTTCTTTAGCATCATGATTTATTGTTCTTATACCCAATTCACAAAGTTAATCTTATTTTATTGTCATAATTAATTTTGATTTCATGATCGTTCACCTCTGCTTAGGCATGTGAACGTGAGGCCAGCAGTCAAGCTAGTCGGCTTTGGCTCTCTAGAGCTGTTACGCCACGGATTTAATTTAATTTTTTTACCTTGTCATATGTTGTTATTTACAGTTATGTTTTCACTTATGTGCATGCTTTATACATCTTGGTATGAGATATGAATAAATATTTTGAATTTGCCACAGTTCACAACAGTTGTCAAGTCAGATTGCCATATTACCAACTGGTGCTGGAAACTGTCTAAGTGAGAGGCCACACAAGTGTTCAGAATGTGGCAATTCTTTCCCAACATTTGCTGGTCTTCAGAAACATTCATACAAACACAAACCAAGGACATTTTCATGTGATGTTTGTGGCCAAAGTTTCTACCATCCTAACTTACTGAAGACTCACTGCATGGTGCATATTGATGGAAAACCTTATTTGTGCGAAATATGTGGGAAAAGCTTCTTGCAGGCCTCTAATCTAAGGCTACATGCTGTGAAACACAAAGGAGTGAAGAGTCATGAGTGTGAATTGTGCAAAAAGAAGTTCTTTCATGCAAGCACACTGAAAACTCACTACATGATTCACAGTGGAATAAGACCGCATGTGTGTGAGATATGTAATCGAAGTTTCAATCATGCCGGGAACTTAAAAACGCACATGTTGGTGCACACAAGGGAAAAACCATTTCAGTGTACGGTTTGTGGCAAAGGGTTCGCCCTGCGTCATGCTTTGGCTAGCCATCAGACGCTTCATACCGGTGAGAAACCGTTCAAATGTGATGTATGCAATAAACATTTCCGACACCGTCATTCACTCATAAATCATCAGAAACTTCACACAGGAGACAAACCCTACGAGTGTGACATATGCCAGAAGAGATTTGCATTACGTGGCAATTTGCAGAGACACATTGCCACACACCCCAGTGACAAACCTTATGCTTGCATTTATTGCACCAAAACGTATGTGGACTCACAATCTGTAAAGGACCATATTGCATCTCAGCATTCTGATGATCACAAGGGAGAGATTATTCTTGGTTTTTAATTATGTATATAGTACATATGTATCAAAGTCATATTATATTTAGTAAATATAACACCAGAAATTGCAGTTGAGTTGTGTGTACTGCTGATTCATATTCAGGAGAATTTGGGTTCAGTTCTTGAAATTAAGACACAATTTCCTGAGTCTCCTGAGTTTCTTCAGGCAAACTCTGAGATAATACCATAAGAAGATGAGCTTTCCCTTCCACATCCTGTTAGTTTTCACTATCACCTTCTTATTTGTTGCTTTATAACATAACTTGTAACGTGCCTTGAAGTAATAAACAAACAGCTTCCCTTAAATTGCTCTAGTACCAAAATCACTGTTCTCTTGTTTAAAAACAATTTTCTAATGTTAAGACATACGTGATAAGAATAAGATCCCTTGAAATGGTGAATGTAATGCTGTCTTGTGAACCATGCCATTTGAAATAAAAGAAAACTATTCTATATCATATTTACACAATATAAGTTTAAACTTTTAGTGATTGTCATTTTACTTGTATTAATGTCAGAACATTTTACCGTGCTACTATAATGCAGTTCTTCTTGTGCAGTGTTTAAATTTCCATTGAGTATTTGATATTTATTCAGTTTTCAATTTAGAGTTAAGATTTATGTTACATGAATTGTTGTCAATAATAAGAGGTCTGAATCAAGTTGTAGTAGGCTTCACTTTTTCTTTTCTATTACAGAGAATCATTTTTAAAAAGAATTGTAAGATTGTATTTGAACTTTGAGTCTGTTGAATAGTTTAAGGGGACAAACATGAATGGAAAGGCATGATCTCACACTTAAGGGTTTAATTTAAGTACTTGTGCAAATAATGCTTTTTCCTCCCTTTCTATGTCCCTCTTAGGTCAGTGTCACCTGTTTTAGAAAGTCAAGTGACCTTGATCCATACTTAAAATCCAACATTAGACAATGTATTTGAAGTTTGCACAGTGGTTTTCAGGGCTGTTACACTATTTAGTCAAATAGGTATGTATCAACATATTTTAGGGACATGCTCCTTTCATGTTCAGTGTTCAGGTGAGATTTATATCATGGTTGACACAATACTGTAAATATGAAGAGATGTAATATGACAATAGTCCAATTACATGAAATAAATTGGTTTTCTCTAGAATAAGATGTAATATGAATACATGCATCACATCATGAACATGAGCAGATGGAACCTGATTTAGACATTGGAACTCTTTCATCAGATGCACCCATTCAACAAGATCAACTTGACCAGTGTACTAGATGGCATCTGTTGCAGTAAAGGCAGAATTTGAGGTATGTGCACACATTGTTTGGTAAAAGTGCAGATTATGGTATTAGGCCCTCTGAACTAGTATGATAAGGACGGATTATTCGTGTGGGGCACAAACCTGGAATGTGGCATATTCAGCAATTAAGAATGATGAACAAATGACAATCAGATTGGGCTTACAATACTTAATATTAGTATAGGAAGATAAAATTTATTTCGTTGACAATGAACAAAGTTCCTCCATGTGGACTAAGGAACTACAATATGTCATGCAAGAGTACACATGCTAAATAAATGTTGTTATTCAACCATCCACAATGCTTCCCATGCTCTCATCCATTAACCTGTAGCAAAATTCCTGGAACTTCACATTCACAGTAAAGCTACATTCATATCAGTCAGATGTACACAAATTTGAAACTCTGTGATTGTTGCCACAAGTATAAAATTTCATAGTCAGCATTCCAGCCAAAATGTTTATATTTATGGTGCATAAAGTGTATTTTTATACATTAAGTAATAAGTGTGAAATCCAGTCTTTCATATGTCTGCACATTTCAAATGCTGTTGCTACCAGAAAGTAGTGCCTATTATGTGAAAAAATCTAACTGAAAAAACCTGCATATATATAATGATGTTTATACTGTAGACATGTTATACTTATCAACAACGCAACAAATACAATGGTGCTTCAGTCATTATAAGGAATTATATAAATCAATAGTAGCCCTTACATAGTGGTTGTACATAGAAAAGAACTTTTGTTGTGCAAAGTCTCAATAGGTTATGTTCTTTGTTACAGTATTGTGGTAGCTTGATTCAAGACTAATTTTGCACAACTGGAGCCTTGAAGAAACTTTCATACTACATATATGTGAAAGATTAAAGAGAAGACTAATGTCTATCCCATACCATGTTATGTTCCAAATGCAACAGACCAAGATACCACTCAGGTATGTCAATGTTACACATCATGATGATTTTTTTATATCACACAATAAGTAGCGCTTCCAAGAGAATAGGGATGAGGAGTGACAGCACTCAGTGGACTTCACCCCTTATGAGTAGTCAGAGCTTCGCTTAATCTCATACCCAGTAAATCCATGAACGTCCCTGCCACTTCCTGCACATTGCAAAAATGTCCAGTTTCACTTCTTACTGACAGGCCTGTTCTCCATAGTGCTTGACAATGCTCAGTGGACTTGACTCAATAGGCCTGTTCTCCATAGTGTTTGACAATGCTCAGTGGACTTGACTCAATGTTGGATCCTCACTTCTTCTCTGGCCTCTCTAATGAGCACTAAATCTTTGGACATTCCTGTTGCTTCCTGTACTTTATTGAAGTTCCCAGTTTGGCTTCTTCCCAACACAGTGCTCTTCCCCAACAGTGTATAACTGCTTTGAAATACAGCTTGACAAAATTCAGTGACTATGACTCCTTGTTGATTGTCAGAGCCTTATATTTCCTCAGGCTTCTATCATGCCAACTAAATCTGTGACATCTCTGCTACTTTCTATATGTTGTGAAGGTCCTTAATTTTACTTCTCACCAGCACTGCCTTGTCTTGTTCACACTGTAGTTCTTTTGCTTCTATGCCATTATCTTCAAAACTGCAACCTTCCTCATATGCATCTGAATGAGCACCAGCTATAAATCCATTTCTGTAAATCTTTCTGCTTTTCCAGTTTACGCTTTAGATAAATACTTAAAAAACGGTAGTCTTTATACTTCTGAAGTTCATTGTTTCATGCAGTGGAAATAAGGAGAGTTAGACTCTTTGTTAGAAATCTTCTGAAAGGTGGAAGAGAGATGCATCCTCAAACTGCCATGAGAGGGAGACTAACTTGCAGCTACAAAATTAGAATGGCGAGTCCAACCATGACTCACAGTAGCCTAACAAAGGGTAGAGGCTGTGTCGTGTGTTCTGCTTGCAGAAAGGTTACACAAACTGGGTTCAGTTGTGCAATGTGTGAAGTTAAATTGTGTATCCACATTTTGAGCATTACTATACAAAACTGAACTTATAGTTCACAACCCGATGTCCTCACTGGTGTACAAATGCAGTGACTGTTTGCTAGTCACATAAGCAGTAACAAAGTATTAAGAAAGGGAAAAAAATCTGGGATGATTTCTTTTCTTTTGTTTTAATTTCATAATTTTAGACATAATGGTTTATAAGACATGTATGATTTTTGTAAGGCTGCTTCTTTTTTATTAAAATGCCCAGAAGTAAATCCAGCCAGTGAAGGGTACAGTGGCTGTTTAAATTCAGTACAATAAAGGCTACTTGAGACAGATATGAAAGTTTAAATACATTTAAGTTGCTTTCCACTGCAATAAAATCATTTTTTTAAAAGATATATTATGAATTTATCTATTACACACCTTATTTTCACATTAATAACTCTCAAGTTTTGTTATTAGTTGATACCTGAACCCATTTTCTTGTGTAGAGCAGTTGGAGATGCATGGTGCATTCTATCAAAATTTCTGTCCCATTAATGGGAATTTCTTACAAGTGGTATTGCAGATTTTCATAACTTACTATAATATCTAATCACCACCTATAAAGTCATAAACTAATTAACATCTTTAAGTCCAGCCCCAACTGAGGAGCAAGCCTGTGATAACATGTTACCTAATTGAACAAATCACACACCTTTTGGAGAGTGATGATTATAAGGCACTGGTGGAATATTTGGCAGATAAAAACCGAAATCAAGTTATGACAGGAAATACTTTGTCCAATGCCATAAAACCCTGGTATTCTAATGAGCACTATAAGAAGATAGCATTTATGTGAGGTACAGTGTCATATCATGGGAAGATAAGTAGCTTTATTAAAGATTACAGTTAGGTACTACAGAATGTATTATGGCATAATGTTCTTCAGGTGTGCATATGGGAATGTCGTTTCAAAGTACTAGCACTTAAGAACTGCTTAGAACACACTTCACACTTAAATGTTTTTCCTGTCTTGAGGTTACAAGGTTCTTTCTTATGAACACGGTAATGTTGAAACAAGTTACCCTTGTTAGAAAATGTCTTGAAACATATCTCACAACGAACACGTTTCTTTCGAATGGATTTTAATTTGTTCTTACCTGAAAGACTGTTAGTTTTGCGGTGCTTCTCTCCACAATATAAGCGTGTATGTATATTCAGGGTCTTTAACCTTGTGAATTTAACATGGCAAGTATGACATTCATAAAGTCTCTTCTCATGCAGAAGTATATGGTTACTAAGAGAACGCTTAGTACTCAGCCGTTTAAAGCATATATTACACTGATGACGTTTTTCACCTGTGTGAACAGTGTAATGCCGTTTCAAAGATCCTCTTATTGAGAACTCTCTGCCACACTTTTCACACTTATAAGGTTTCTCTCCTGTGTGGGTGCGGTAATGTTCTTGAAGTTTCGTGAACTTTTTGTTACACAAATGACATAATTCAGTCTTTGATCCTGTAATACAATATGAATGGTCTAAAAGGTGTGACGTATGAGACAAATGCACTTTGGTATAATTCACCCATCCTGTGTGAGTACGTGAATGTGTTTTGAGGTCTGTCCTATGCATAAAGCCTTTATTACACACCCTGCAGTGGAATGTTGCAATTCTCCTGTAAAGAGAAGCAGATATTATACACTGCAAGAAAAATACATTTGAAATCATTTTATTGATTCATTTTTTAGCTTCTTTTACTTATTCAACTGGATGCATAGTAGGAAATTAAATAACTCTGTATGCCTGCACCAGAAGCATTTCTGCTCCTTCAAAACTCATTATGAATATGGCAAGTCACTAAAACTGATCAGTTGGTTTCATTTAATATGGTACCAACAGTTACAGAAACATGGATGGTGAACACACCTCATAGTGTCAACACTTTCCAAATCCATTTCAAATTCTGGCTCTTCTACCAGTTCATCTTCTGTCTTGAACACTACTTTACCAGCTAGCTGTTCTTCCTGCAATGAAACAAATGTGTCATTTGCCTTCTGGAGAGAAAAAATAGCAGTTCAAATCTGTACTCCACATGTTTTTAACATTCTCTTTGTGAGTTTGGTTCATAGAGTGTAGATACAAATTAACTATTGTAAAGCTAAGCAACGGTATGGAAACCACAATTTCAAAGCACAATATTACACTGCACTTATTATTACTTCCTTTAATTTGTTAAATATTTCTATAAATGTGTCAAAATTTGTGAATCTTATCAAAATCCATAGTTTATGCCATATACCAATTCTCTAGATTACGATCTGTTAATGGAAATACTTCTAAAAGTTTAATTTCAGTTTCATGTAAAGTCTGGGATACATTATACAAAAATAAAATTAAGTCTGCGTGAGTCTTCGTTGTAGATGATGAATACAGAATAAATTAAAATCACCAAGTACTATAAGAGACAATACATGCTGACAGGCATGACTACCTTATGATGTATGTGTAGAAAAGTTAAAGTTAAATGCAAAAAATATTCTGTGCTGCTGTGACATCACTTATGGTGCAAGCCTCTGTTATCTAATTGTAGCAGG